GAGACTAGACGGAAAGACCAAGAGAGAGAGAGAGAGAGAGAGAGCATGTATCGGCCTAACTTTATATTTGAGATAATAAATGAATAAAATTAGAATATATCACAGTAACAGTTTCACCATAAGTTTGAGTTTTTTTTTAATTTTTTTTTTATTGTTGCCTATAAAAGAAATCGGTGAAAGGGCCCATGAACTCTTAAAGGTAAAGACCAGTATTGGAAACGCCCCAATTTCAAAAAATGAAATGGAAGCTCTCATTACCAATCATGTGAAAGAATATGTTTTGACTAATACATGATGATAAAAAAATTTGCCGGGAAACCGCCTACTAATTCATATATTTGGTAAATTTGTTTCTCTCATGGTCTGTGAGAGATATAGAGTAGTCCCATATACATCTTTCTGTGTATAGTGCTTGTAACTTTACGAAGAATGGGCCAAATTTCTTATCATTTTGACGATTCCAAAACCTTGCAGATGCTATATGCTAGATGATCAACCTTTTCTGATCGATTCTACAACGATTCTTTCACAATGCAATCGCATGACCATAACTGGTCTTTACCTTTAACTTCAAAGAAAAATTATACAGGTCTTTTCAGATATTTTGCGTCGTTCTCATGTGAATATGAAGCCAAAGGCGGAGTTTATATCTGATCTTTCTCCTAATGTTTTGTCTCACATAACAGTCAGTACAACCGATCAGACACGCTACATGTTTGTACAGCTTCCACTCTAGTTGACTTATTCCTACACCACTACCACAATTTCCTGTAAAATAGATATTAATGTCACAGGTTATATCAGCATGAAATCTCTTCACGTGGGCTCGATCTCTTACGTATTGATGATAAACTCAAGTTCATTTTGATTTAGCATCTGTCTCGTAAACCCTATCTTTCTCTCCTCACATTTTCCTCTCGTAAAACTAACACTGGAAGTAAAACCTGATCCGGGAGACTAGGTGATCAAGAATGGTTGATGTTAAACACCTCGTTAACTTTAATACTAAGAATTGTAGATGTTAAATGCCTCGTTAACTATAATACTGAGTGCCAACAAGAGGTATTCCATGAAATAAATATGACATTAAAAAAGGTTTGCAATAATATTCCAATGTCGCTTGGATTTTCCTTCTAATCATACATGAATAAAAAAAAAACATATTTACAAAATAAGATAAGATACGGGTCTTTTGTATTGCATGCGATGGATAAAACTTCTTCCTTTATCCATTTATCTTCTTCTTGTACATACCAGAAAGGATAAGCTTAATTTCTGCATTTTGGGCGTGTTTTGGGTTATTCAAGATTACAACAAGAAATATACAACAACAATGCGATCACATACCATTCTTAGCTGTGTCTTGACATTTCACTTGGTAAAACGTTATGTTCACAGAATCGTGCGCTCAATTTCATTTGAGTTTCATTTGGTCGTCCCTTTTTTTTTGTTGCTTTCTTGTACATTTAACACGATCCCAAACTTAGTCATCTGAGTGAACACGACAAACAAGGTGAACTTCGCCTTTCATTCCTCATTAATCTTCCGAATCTGTTTATATCGTCCGAGCCTCCACCATGCTAAATTCCTTAAAGTGCTCTCCAATATCCTGATGAAAGTCGTGTGGGCAATTTCGAAGCCACTTTTAGCATTCTGACAAACTGTCTCCGAGGAGACAAATAGGTCTGCTTTTGTAGAAAATTCATTACAAATAGGAGGGAAAACACGTTAAACTAAAAATAGTCTCACCTCGATGGCTGTAGTATGGTTCAACACTGGATTAATATCGATGGTAAATGATCACCTTCAGGTTAAATACTGTAACTAAAGGTTTCTGCAAACTTTACATAATGAGTTAGATAAACCATGGACCTACTACAACAGCCTCTGTCTATTTTCTACTAGCGGTAATGTAGAGAAAACGTTGATTTTTGTTAGCTTGAATAGTTGTTGATTAGGATAACAATAAATTTGTGGTAGTACTTAAGCAGAAGAGCCAGCCATGTTGCTTTCCTAAGACCGGGTGAACGACATTAGTTAGCATGTTTGGTCGAGATCGACATAGAATCCACAATATCGATCCAACGGGGCAAAAACAGGGTCAACTAGTCTGCGAGGCATTCTCAAATTGGGACGTTTAGGATTTAATGAAGAACTGAAGATCCAATCGAAGGCAATCCTTAAATACAATGTGCTTATGCTCTACACATGAAAAACAAGAGGAAATTCTGTTAATGTGAGAGAGAAGTGTCAAGAGGGAGAGGGAACCGACCACTTGTATGGGAAGATTGAGAAACAGAGTATTTAATATAACGCCTTAATTCTCCACGAAGAAGTAGACGGGCCATTAAAAATGACAAAAACTTCAAAGAGACCAATAGAGCCGATAGAAACATAACAATCCTATCCATCTTATAAACAAATATAAGTTCAGCCGGATGACTGGATTGTATGTATATATATGATGTATGTGTACATATAAATGGCGATTAAATGAAACGTAATGTAGAAAGAAAATCGAATTAATTCAAGGATATTCGGAAAATTCTTTATATATTCAGATTAACGATCTTTTAAATTCATGAGCCTAGATGTGAAATACCAAGCCCCAAGAAACACGCCAGTTCGCATGGGGAGGTTTGATTTATCTTTCGAATGATCGGTATTCGGGAGGTTTTTAAGAGACTTGCAATAAAAACACTTCCTGTTGTTACAATTAACCTTAGTTTGACGTAGAAGTTCAATGACTTTCTCCTTAGATAATTATAAGAAGTGGGTTGGTGGAACAGATTTTACCACAAAAGGAAGTTTCTAGAAATCTACGATCGAAGAATCGACTGCTTTGCAGAGGCAATCGCAATAATAGGTCGTTCTTAGATTGATGGCATTTTAAAAAGTGAAGACTTGCTTCTTCCGCTGGAGGGAACACGTGCTCTCTTTGTATTGTCCTCGGCACTTTAATTTTGAATTCATGAACTGGGCAGGGGCAGAGAAAATGTCACGAAATGCCAATCGAAATAGAGGCTATACAAGGTAACATCATCCATAAACATTTGATTAAACCATGCCTCGTGGTCTTTTTTTCTTTCTTTCTTTTCACTTCTTTTGTCGTGATGTTTGATAGACTTTAGGAAATTACAATTCTTGATATGACGGTGCAAAAATGAAAACAAGGGAAATGAATATGACCAACATGCAGCTGTCGTACAGAGCTTGAAATCTTTCAATCTAGTCCCATATGATGAATCCTATGTAGTGTCGTGAATATTATTGCTGAAATGGTTTTAAAAAATTTCTTTGTGCTTTCATTTCCTGTGGCGAATATATTTCCTTTCATTTCATTTGTCAAGTTTTCGTAATACAATGTTATTCGTCCCACTACTTTGGACATCCCGATATTAAGAGCATATATTGCTTATCTGTATTTTAGTACATTTGTGTTTGAAGTATACACAACATTTGTCATTACCGTGAGTCAATAAACGTCGTGTTCAATCGGTAGCAAACAACCTTCTTAGAAGTAAAGCACTTCTTACACACCATACACACCCACACACGCACTCACACGTAGGAATTCAATTCATTCAAGTCCCTCTAGTTTTATTTATTGAAGTAAATTCTCTTAACAAACTACGAGCATCCAGCCGAGAATGTCGAGAGAATTTCTGTCGTGCTTGTAATACCCTGTCGCATTCTTGTCACGAGATCAAGCATGGAATTACAAGCTTGAGCAGAGGTGTCAAATTTAACATGGCGTCGTTCTAAACCACTGAGGAACATCACTTGAGTTATTTTCCGAAAATTCGCTTGCTGTATATAATCAATAGTGATTACATTGTGACAGAGTCTATCAGAGAAATGCAGTGCTATTGCAAAAAATGGATATACCGATACTGATAAATTTGCTTTGTTAGATGGTGATTTGTAGTAAAGAAATAATATAATTGGGTAATATGGTTAATCTGATCATAGTATTGAGGTTCTAGATGTTTCAACATGATGCACACTAAACATTTAAAATTGTTACCCATTATTCCGGTGTATTATTTAGAAATGACAATATGTTTTGGTACCGTTGTTTACAGGCACTCCTTCCAATATTCATAAACGGTATCCATTATTATTCATCAAAATGAAATCCGCGTGAGAGAAGTATAATTTACATGAACTACAGAATCCCCGCACATTTGAAAAAAAGTCTACTCTCTGTAATGTTAAGATTTCATTGAAAAATATATTTTAGTTTAGATTCTGTGTGCATCATTTATGTTCATTTTTGTTTCTGTTTTTGTTTTGTATGTTGAGTAATTCATATACATCTCTTAGATATTGATAACATGTTTGTGTGTTTCAGCTTTAGAGAAATTAGAAATCACATCAACATGATTATATAATTGGCACTTACAAGATTTCAGATCCCTTTTCTCTCAGTGTTAGCGTTCCATTTAAATCCTCCTGTGTAATTGGGCTTTTAAAAAGTTGTTAAGGCAAACATTGTGTTTGCGTTATCAGATTGGGTATTGGATATATCCCAGGGAAATATATCAAATGGGTGTTATTGCTTACATTTTAATAGAAACGCTTTGGCTTTCCTAGCCCAGAGTCTGGTAAACACATTTCTCCGGGATTTACTACCCGCGATACAGAAGGGGTTGAATATGAAAACATGTTCAGTTATACATTTAATGTACTATACCGTACACATTTAATCAGTAGCACAAACCAACGTAGATACCTGTTATTGCAATGATTAGGCTTACCCCATCAGTTTAAGATCTAGTCTTAAAACCACCATCATTCCTACACACTTGTTTTGATGTCACTCTGTCCATTCAACCTTAGTAAAAACCAGTCTTTAAATGTTTAGTATCATTGAATTATCGATGAAAAGAAAAAAGAATGAGTCTTCTTGTGTGCATGTTTCATCCATTCAATAGTCAGTCTGCTGCATGTTTCTACATTGTGTTTTCTGTTTGCTGTACCTCCATCTTGATTTTTAGGCTCGTCCCACAACTTGTGAAAACTGTGCAAACTTCTCCCCAAACTGTCACGTGCGAATCATGAAATACGGCTCATATATTCCGGTAAGAACATTTCATATCTTTCCAATTTCAGACCTGTTTCTTGAAAATAAGAGAAATGTTATTACATGTTTTGGTGAAATTTGATTATTCAATTAACAACAACACAAGAAATTAAAAAAATCATGAAAGAAAGAAATAAAGAATTGAAGTTAATTGACTCATCTAACTATCGAGGTATTACCTCTGACGGTTAGATTTGTTTACATGACTGACTTTCTTTTAATTTCGAGATAGCAGGTCATATTATAAGCACACTCCGCATGTAATTTTCAGTGTATCATTTGATGTTTAAATGTTAGTGGCTGTTGGCTATTACTGGCAAATGGGCATAAGACGACGACATAAGCTTAAAATGCACTCGTTTTATATGAATTTTAAATTTAAATGAATGAAATTGTGTAAAAGTTATCGTTGAGTTGTTATTTATGCAATAAATAAATAATCCTGATATCAAATTAATAGCAACGACATTATACGAACGTGATTAACAAAGACGAATCACCAACAGGAATAGTTGTTAAAATATTACTTTGTTGCGTAGTCCCGATTAGCTAAAAATCGTAATCTTTCTTGTTTCGTTTGTGAGCTATCAATATTTCCTTGTTCAATGTTGTATTGGGATGGTTATATCTGAAACATTATACGTCATTGGAATTTTGTGATATTTGTTCATTTTTTTTGCACCAGCATTTTTCTTTTTTAATCAAGACTGAATTAATGCTGCGTAGATTCACTTTCTATCTCATCAACTGCCGTCATCTCAATAAAAAAAACACGGGAACCAGCTTGAATTAGACAAGCTTGTCGAAGATTTTCACATCCTATAGGCACTATGAACATGACTGACAATGAGAGCGGACAAAATATACAGTTCCTCAGGTAGACAAAGGAACATCCCTTCACAGCTATTATGTAAAAAGGTGAATATGCATGTGACACCTGTTCTACACATTTTTACATAATAGCAGTGAAGGGATGTTCCTTTGTCTACCTGAGGAACTGTATATTTTGTCCGCTCTCATTGTCAGTCATGTTCATAGTGAGGGCCCTATCAATTCTCGCTATCGCCAATACATCAAAAAGCCCAGATGTAAATTTATTGTCCCGATTTCAAATGCACTCTGGGATAGCTTGTTGTCTTTGTCGCTTCCGGTCCATTTCACGCAGCTGTGTACGTGTACGTGAGCGCGTCTCCTTGTATAGTCACCGAGCTCGCTTGCTGCCTACATTAATTTCATCTTCGGCTCTATTTGATAGTATATCGTGCGCAATTTTCTACTTTTACAAACTGAATTGTCAGTTGGAATATGGTGCGACACTGTGATTCGATCTGATGTACGCTGGCCGCACGATAATAAATAAGCGAAAAAACATTCGGAGATATTCCTGTATATAGATGTGACTTTGGTAAAATTCCCAACAAATCTTAAGCAGCGCGCGACATGGAAAAGTTGCTCAAAAGGAAAGACAAGTTTGAAATCACTGCACGATCGCGACTATGTTTGCGGCATTTTGACAAAGAACAATTACAAAATGATGGACACGCGATGGTATTACCAAAGTAGGCCTATTTCTTCTTGAAAAATCATGGTCAGTATCAGCCAACAAGAGAGCTTTTGGATACGTATACTGCACATGCGTAATACGCGCACGCGCCGCATGCACTGAAAGCATGGAAGTACCGGAAGTACTTTGAAATTACGTCCAAGAGGTCAACATCGGGGCATTCGGGGGTATTGGCGAAAGCGAGGATTACCCAACTTCCAGGATATATAACATATTCAAGACATAATGAACGGGAATGTGGTGCCATGTCAGCTGACATGAAACTGTTCTCTTTGTTTTATTAAGTTCAAACAGAAAATTGGACTTAGTTATAACCTTGACACAACACTATAGGCCTACCTGAGCAAAGCTATAAACCCAAGCTAAAACACAATTTCAACGCTAATTGTTCATACGGCTGCATCTGCATCTACGCAGATGTAAAATATATGCAGGACATTCCTTATATCGAGAATACATTGATGTGTATTAGGAGGATGCTTACGTACAATCAGATTGAATACACATGTATACCTTTAGATGCAGTCAAATTCACCCTGATTGTTTTATGTGAATCCATTTCCGATTATATGGGAAGCGATTATTTGAAAGGCCATTTTCGCAATGTAACCTAATTAAATGCAGACATCTTTGTGAACTGCTTAAATACAAATATTTCATTCACCTGTTACGAATCATTGTATATTTAATAACCAGAATGCAAAATGCATTTTGTGTGTGTGTGTGTGTGTTGATAGGTAGCGTAAGTCATAACGGGTGCGTTTATTGGGTCTTGCCACTAGATATGTACATATCGTACCCCACTATCATACCCCACTATCGAACCACATAATACGATCGTGATTTGCGGGATGTCGCGTTTATCGTCTCTTCACGATTCACAATAAAGGCATTGTCTCTGCGCAGCTGCTCAGCGCCGTTTGACCTGGGAAGCAAACAGTTTCTCGGAGGTCAACTACACACACGTGCTTGTACAACAACATGACACAACACATGGCGCGCTAGCCTCCGAACCGGAAATTAACCTGGGAGGTCCGATTTGTATGTGGGGTTCAAAACAGCTTTGCGTTTATCATCTCTCAGAAACGTGATTCTGGCTGTTTGTCACATTAAAAACACACCTTTTTGCGTCTTTAGATATGCCCATATCTAAAGACCTTTAAAAAAGGCTTTGCGTTTATCACCTTCAAAATTTGCCTGAAAGACGTTTGAGAAACCTGATTCTAGGCAAAAATTTGGTCAATAAACGCACCCTATGTATGTCCTACCTACCAACAAATCAACAACTGTATTCAATTCGCATTCTGACTATTGAGATACTATTATTTGTAACAGGTGAAGAAGATAATTTGTATCGAAGCACTTCACAAAAGCAATTTTTAGACGTGGCTTCTTAGTCTGTAGCCATGTCCATTAGTTCCAGTAAATTTTGTTACATTACGAAAATAGCCTATTGTATTTCCCTTTGAAGGGATCCGGTAGCTTTGTCTCAGATTCTGTATTCTGATGTAATGATAATTATAAACCGTTAGGTCAGTCAGGAACCCCATGACTTTTACAAGCCGATCGCCTGTATTATTAAGATATTTATAATTGGAAATCAAAACCAAATTTTGCGTTTGCAAAACGGTCTTCATAACACTACAGTCTATTGGGGGTCACTCAAAGATTTTTACTTTTTTGAGGCACTTCTTGATCATTTTGAAGCGCGATTTCTTGCTAGGGCTTCAATATTATACCATATTACAGACACTGATAACAAGTAGGGCCGTGTATCTCAGATTTAACATTGTTAAACGATGCCTTTAAACATGGAGCACGTATGAAGTTATTCTTTATAATTATGACATAAAGATAATCCCTGAAAATATCATATTATAATAGCATATGATAATGGATGGAAACCCATTTAGTACAATATTGATTCAGTGCACCAAAGTCTTTTTGTGGTAATAATGTTATAAGCGAGAAAGAAACGTTCACACAAACGTTATGGTTCTGGTGAACCAATATCTTGTATATTTTGTTAGCATTGTGAATGAATTCGATATAGTGCAATAGAACTTTGGGGAAGAATATTAACCAACGTGCACTCAAAAGGATACGACCTGTGTATCCTTACCATATCTTTGACAAGCCACCTCCGAGCCACCTACACCTCTGCAGGCGTATCTCTTCGAAACTGCTCGAAATTATTCATTTCAATAAATTAGAAAGTCATGAAGATTGTTTTAGATTTGGATAAGCTTCAAGTCTTACACCTACTATAGCCTACGATGGATGTAATCAGTCTGGCAGCTAATGTGCGGCCGCGCATATTAATCAATTGCTCTGATGAGAAGTCACCAAATCAAGGCTTTTCTTTTTCTTTCTTATTTTAGTATTTTCAATCTTGATATTTAAATCAGGTTGAAAACAAACAAAAATTAGATGCTGCTTGTAAGTGTCGGCTTGCATGTTAATATAGATATACAGTAGGCTTGCGGGTGCACCATGTGAGAGAGAGAGAGAGAGAGAGAGAGGATTGAAGAGTCCTGAAAAGGACTCTGACTCGGTAATCTTTCTTGGGGTGTGTAGTCCTGAAAAGGATTTGTTATCTTTCTTAGGGTGCGTTTAAGCTCAATTTTTGAAGGCAGAATGAGCGATTTGTTACGCTCATCGTAACCGCAGTTCCACGGTATACACTGTTTATGCTCACTTCTCTGGCTCCTCCAGCCAATTCCCCTTGGGTGGCCTTTAGCTGGATTCGCAAACCTGTGTGCGCACGCTACGTAGACCCACTAGAGGTCAGTGAGTTGACCCCATTTAAACGCGTTTACAAATCATAAACGCACCTTTTTGAGAGTTTACGATCGGCGATCGTGATCGCCGTTTTTCGGTGATTGTACAAAAATGAGAAAGGACGCAACCGTAGTTTGAACTAAACGCGTAACAGGTGCCTGATTCTGGCCAGAAAAGTTGAGCATAAACACACTCTTAGACTACACACCCCCAAGAAAGATTACCGAGTCAGAGTCCTTTTCAGGACTCCTCAATCCCCTCTCTCTCTCTCTCTCTCACATGGTGCACCCGCAAGCCTACTGTATAAAAAAAAATTAGTTTCTTATGTTATTAATGCTAAGAATAGTAGATTATCTGAAAAAAGAGGGCCAGCACAGGCTTGTATCTTTATAATTTGTATTGTTTTATCAATGTGCAAATGTATTAATTATCGTGATGCATCCTGTAAGGCTATGATTATGGTATTTTCCTAATTATTATTTACTTCCTAATTAATGGCGTTCTTTCCAAATAACTGATCTCGGATTTAAATGCTTTACTCTATCTCATTTTATATACTTCACTTTTAATTTTATTTTAAACTTATACTTTTTTTCTTGACCTTAGATTTCTAAACACGTAGGCCTTATCTGTAAAGCCCACTTAGAACAAAC